CTGTATTTCACCAGAAGGTTCTAAAGGCGCTTTACATCGGGTCCCGCAAACCTTCTTTGTGCAAACAACGTGAGTGTTTGTTGGGACTCGCTGTCATCTGCCTCTAGTTCCTTCTTGCATATACAAACATATATATATATATATATATATATATATATATATATATTTTTTTTTTTTCCACCTATTCACATTGTACATTTCTCTGTTTTAATATTGAATCTCCCGTGGAAGCCTGACGAGCGGGAGCGAAACCGGTTGCTTCCCTTGTTGTTGAGTTTTTTGTTTTTTTATTATTTAATATTGTTTTTTTCTTTAATATTATTTTATATTTTTTAATATGTCTTGTAATAAAAAATTTTATACTTTTATATATATATATATATATATATATTTATACAGTAGGTAAAAAAAAATATATATATATATATGTGCCAAAATCTCGAAACGTCTATCTATCTATCTATCTATCTATCTATCTATCTATCTATCTATCTATAACAATGAATCTCAATCCTATCTATCTATCTATCTATCTATCTATCTATCCGCCTCGGTAATCAATGGTAAAGAATGTCGTAAAGAATGGCCCCACCCAATATTCAGTGATACGCAGACGTACTGGACATCTGGGATTCTTTTTAAGAGAGCAGCCATTTCTTGTATAGCTAATTATACTTGGCCATTTTTAACCTATTTATAACTTGCTCCATTCTTGCCCGTTATAAATCCAACCTTTCGACCAAGAATCACCTGACCATCATCAGTTGTCCCTTATTTTGGCTAATACGGGATATCTGCTGATTATTGCATTATTTTTTTCCCTGTGACAAATAGAACACCGCAAAAGTCTACGTTATACCATATTTATGGGAACAATTTTAATTAATATATCTCCGGTTAGTATCTCTACAATCGTATGTATATGAGTGTACAGGCTTGTGCTTAATGCCAAAGGGCGTTATGCAATGTAATGGGATGATGTCTGAATAGTGCTGATAACATCTTTAATTTGAAACCAGTGCATAATTATTATCTGTATATGCGATCATTGACTGCAATCCAGCTAGTTTATCCGCACATTTAATCTCGAGTAAACTGAAACGCACATTTTGGATTTTGTGATATTATTTTTCCTTAATTCTTCCTGGATTAAACTCCGAAACGGTTGACCTGATAATCTAACTCTCTAATCTGTTGGTGTCAATCTTTTGTTTTTTATTTTTGCTTTTTTTTATTTCTAATAAATCGTTCTCGAAATAAACTCTTTCGTGAAAAATGTTAACATGTTACACAGACAAAATCGTCCCTGGTGTGTTAATTTACGTAAAGGCATACACAATTTTTTTAATACAATTTCAATTTGGAGCTGTCTTGTAAATTGGACTTAATATATATTAATAATTATATTTTCCAAACACGGCCAGCGCATTGTGGCCTTGTTCATAGTTGATGTTATTGAGGTAAATATCCATACTACTTCATTATAATCATAGGTGCGGTAGTGTAATGGCTATCGTCTCGGAATGAAAAATTCTTGTTGGGTTCATTTCGTACAGTTACGCGAAAATACCCTTGTAAATACCCGGTATGAGTCTATCTCTTCTACTCACCAGATACGGGACAAATAGGTTAAGTTTGTCTCTTTAGCTTTGATTGGCGACCAGTCTGGGAGAAGGATAGTTTGAATTTAAAACTTGAGCTGGTCTCTTTATGGGCGTTTTGGAAGAGAAGGTGCATCATTTTACTTTATCAGTCTTCCGAAAAGTTGAGATGAGTCTACACACACACACACACACACACGCACACACACACACACACACACACACACACACACACGCTCGTGCGCACACACAGACACACAAATATATATTGTATATGTGTGTGTGTGTGTGTGTGTGTTTTGTATATCCGTTTTTAAACGATGATGTTTTTGCATAGTATCCGGAACAAAAGTACAGATGTGGAGACAAAGTGGAAAAGATTACAGACGACGCGTTTAATATATATATATATGTATATTTATGAAAAACCTGTGACATCTTTGGGTTTTTTATTTTAGTATTGGCTTTTTCAGGTCGGAAAAAAAGACAAAACTATATTTCCAGATGTAATTTCCAAAGTTTGAGTCTTAGGGAAAAGATTAAAACCTCAACATTAAATTAAATTGTCGTATCAGAAATTTTTTTTTAGAGAATACAATTTTTGTTGACAAAAATAGACGTAAGATTTATTGTAAGAATTAAAATATGAAAGTTTTTGAAAAGATTTTTTTGATTTTTTGAATTCGTTATTAATCAAAAATATATATATATATATATATATATATATATATATATTATATATATATATGTGTGCCTTCAAAATTTCGTAGCAGAAAAACGGTTTAGGCGTGTGAAAAAATGAAAAAATTTAATCGATGAACAAAGATCTTCTGCACAGACATATATAACAAATTTAAATATATTTTAGTATTGAGTTATAATATATTAGAATTTCAATTTTCAGCTTGAAAGAATTATATAATTTACAAAAATCCTAAATCAAAAAAAGAAAGCGAAACGGTCATTTTTTTAATTACAAATACCTTTTAATTTTGTATTTATATATTTTTTTTTACAACGCCACAGCTTATTTGAGCTAGTATGATAGAAAATAGAATGTGCCAAGATGAATCGCTTGTTTGCGTACTTTTATGTATGCATGTAATTTCCCAGCAATAGCAGTGTGTCGGCCAGTAGGGAAAATGTAGTCGCACCAACATAAATTTAATCCGATGAAGTCCTAAAGAACGAAACGCGTCACACTACTATATATATATATATATATATATATATATATATATATATATATAGTGTATTTAGGCAACAATCCTTCTTTCATGCAAGTTTCATTAAATATGGCAGAAAAGGTGCTTTGATTAAGTTTTTTTTATATAATTTCTCACGTGATCTTTAGTTTTCTTTCTTTCATCATACGATCAGTTTAGACCCACTCGAATGACAGGGTGTAATCGATTTCTCTGCTTTCCTCAGATTAGGTCAATTTCAGTAGTGTGCAGTAATATGAATCTGTTTTGGTGGGGAATGATGAAATTTGTATGACCTTGAAAAATATTGCGTCATCCGTGATTGTTCAGATTTTTATCACGCGCAGACACTATTGTCTCGACTGTCGAGTAGTTGTCCTACTCTCATTGTCTGCGATGGACGTTACTCCAAAGAAGCGTCCGAAAATTGTAACGTTGCATGAACACTGGCATGCCTTACCAGTGAGCAAATCAATGTGCCATATATTGGCTTGGAAAATCTCCTGATGTAAATCCAATCGAGAATCTGAATAGACATACGAAATACTAACATATGCACTGCGTCATGTTTCATTGGAAAAATACAAAAAAAAAAAAGAATAATAATGGAATTATTTGCTTTGTTTCAATTAATTTGTACAAGCGTGTAACTTCTATGTTGTGGAAATTTCTACCGGCTTCTCCCTTTCAATCAGCTTTGATCTTCAAAAATGTAAATGCAATATCTATCGTTGGCTTACGTCTTTTTAATGTCTATCCTTTTATTGTCCTCTCTCCTTAATAAATTTTCCTTCTCATATTATTTCTCACCTTTGTGTCTTAGTGGCTTTATTGCCTTTATGATGTTGAAATGTTTAAAAAAAAAACTCACTTAAATACGCCCTGATGTATTTGAAAATTTAGTTATTAAATTCAGCGACAAAATTAACTTCATCCTTCTCTCTTGCTTGCTATCTATCGCCCCCCACCACAATCACACGCGTCAAATCATTATTGCATGTGAACAAGTTTTGTTAATCTGCTCTGTACATGATATAACAGCGATTACTCTTCGGATAGCCGTAATTATGGCGTTTCCTGTATTTTGTTTATTTGAACAAATCAATCCCTATTTACATAATTTACATGCAGACTATTTTCCTCATCCTTGTTGTTGTTATCACGACGTTTCGGCCGTTGTACACATCGGTTTTACCATCAGGAACATTTGAAATGAAACTTTTTATGAAGGCTCCAAATTCTCAGAAATATCCAACGGTACAATAATCTTGTGGAGTAAAGCGTTGGTTCAAGAATTTGGTGACAGAGAAATCACGACTGCAATTCCTGGGCTGGGCAGTGTATAGTTGGGCTCAGTAAAAACGAGATATATGATAAATGAGTAGTACTTAATATGAGATATATCTCGATATGAGCAGTTTGAAATTCACTGAAGGTTACCCGAATGTACTCGTACCTGATAAAGGCTAGAAGACCGAACGCCCGATACGTTTTGATAACGACAACAAAGATGAGCACAATAGCCCGAGTGTAAATAATGATAACTCCACATCCCAGAAATTCAGACAGAAAAAAATCGATCCCTTGTCGAATCGTCCATGTTTGATCAGGATTTTCCGGTTCCAAATTATTATATTATCAAATTGAACAGGTTGCCCGGCCAAATGGCAACCGGTTTTCGATAGGTGGAACGTGTGGCTTGTGGGATGGGATTAAAAAAAAAAGAGAGAGAAAATATCGATTCCATAGAAAACCGAATGGTGCACAATGTAATATCTCGTATATAGATCTTTAGGATCAAGTAACGAGCGATACATTGATGGTCTTTAAATATAAACTATTCTCTTCCTTGGTACGGACGCAGTTTCTTGTATTAAACTCGACAGAATAATCAGTGATGATGTAGGCATATCCCTCGCTTGTTGGCGTGGTTAAGTCTCAAGAGGGCGGTAGATGATCAAAGAGGATATGGCGGAGATGTTAACAGAGGAATAAAATTACGTAATTATTTTTATTATATAATAATGAAATAGTTATCAGTACAGTGGTCAGGTGTGTCGCATATTGCATTTCTAATGCTGTAATGCATTTTAAGGGAGCAGTAAACTGTAGGGAGCAGTAAACTGTTATCTACTACCAGCGAAATGTGTTCCCGTGGTCGGTTTTACTCGGGCTTGCACTCTAGGCCTTACTGATGACGGCGGCACCCTCCGACACGTCGCGGTATCAATCAGGCGCGCACGTGTTTACGTGGCTCGCATCTCGTCGTTAGCTCCGGCATCAGTACGTCGCTAGCGACATCCATTTTCGGGACCGGTCTATTTGGCATGTGAGTTGTTATATATTCCTTAGCGGATACCAACTTCCGTAGCTATAGTCGTGCAGTCCATATCTTTCGGGGATGAAAACTAAATAATGTGCGATTTCAGAATAAACCTTTGAATTGTCTTCTAATATATTAGAATATTCGGAAAATAGCGTCCGATTTTAGAATAAACCTTATAATTTTGTTCTAATATATTAGGGTATTCGGAAAATAATGTCCGATTTTAGAATAAACATTTGTGTCGTGATATAGTAGGATGTTCAGAAAATAATGTCAGATTTTAGAATGAACATTTTAATTGAGTTCTAATAAATTAGGGTGTTCAGAAAATAATGTCCGATTTTAGAATACACATTTTAATTGATTTCTGATAAATTAAGGTGTTCAGAAAATAATGTCCGATTTTAGAATAAACCTTCAATTGTATTCTAATATATTAGGGTGTTCGGAAAATAATGTCTGATTTTAGTATAAAATTTTTAATTGTGTTCTAATATATTAAGGTCTTCGGAAAATAATGTCTCATTTTAGAATAAAACTTTAATTGTATTCTAATATATTAAGGTCTTCGGAAAATAGTGTACGATTTTAGTATAAAATTTTTGTGTTCTAATATAGTAGGGTGTTCTGAAAATAATGTCCGATTTCCGAATAAATCTTTTAACTGTATTCTAATATTTTATTGTAATTGCTGCACAAAAACACAATACCTATTCTTATTGATTAAAGTGTTAGTTTTTAACCATTTCAGACCAAGCAAGTCGGAAATGTAACTAATATGCCGGGGGGGGGGTTACAGGGAGTGAAAGTGAAAAAAATCAGGCTGAATATAGGCAGGATTGAGGAAAGTACAAAAGATGAACGGGCTTGAAGAAGATAGAAGATGGCGATTGCCGCATTTTTTTAAATCAGTGTCACCCCCAAAACGGCAGTACATCCACTAAGACGAAAGGGGTTACAGGGTGTGGAGGAATTAGGAACAGAAACATTAGTAATGAGTAGAAAGAGAAAAGACCAATCAGTAGGGCAGTAAATAGCGATTGACTTTGCATTTATATTTTTGCAGAATAAATTTGGCTGGAAAGCCAGGAAAGAGTTCCACAAGTGAGAAGTGTGAGAGAAGAAACTGTTAGCATAGAACTTACGTCTAGATATAACCAACTCAATTGTAAATTGATGAAATCTCGACGCCATTCTCGTAGTGCGCTTAAATTCATACAGTCTAGGGAATAGGAAACATAGATTCAGGAGAGAAGAATTGTCTCCCCGGACAAACTGAACCGATTTTCTTAGCAAGTGACCTAGCAATGTATTCAATATAGTCTTTCCACTTCATGTCAGCTGAGAACGTTAGCTCGAGAAGGCAAAACGAGTTACTTCCCTGGAGTTTAGCATCAGCCATGATGATGGAAAGCAGAGAGGGGTCTCTCAGATGATTAATAGAGAGAAGTTCAGTTTTGGAGGCGTTAAAATTAACAAGACATCTTTTCCCCCAGTTAACAACAGACTGGACGTTGTTTTAGACATTGGCTGCCATTTTTACATTGTCGGGCTGATCAGCCTTACTATCGAGGCAGGAGGGAATGTTAGTGTCGACAGCGTAGATGCCAAGGTGAGAGCCGATGTCACGAAGGTCGTTATTGAAGATTAAAAAACTGTCTAGGAACAAGTATCGTTCCCTGGGGAAAACCAGCATTAATGCGAAAGGTTCTAGACGTGTGGCCGTTCAGGATAACTTCCATTTCATTATTTGATAGGGACGATTGTATCAGCTCAAAAATGTAGCCCGATATACCGTAACTTTTCAGCTTGTAGAGAAGACCTGAATACCAGACCGTGCCAAAGGTTTTCGAGATGTCCAATGCTACAGCCCGAGCTTCACTGCTTTTATCTAATGCATAATAGACTCTTTCCTCGATTATCATTAGTACATCATCAGTTGATCTGGAGAAACGAAAACCGTATATCTTGTCAGAGAAAAGACCCTGCGATGCGAGATGATGAAGCAATTCAGAGTTGATTAGGACTTCTAGGAGTTTCCACAAAAGAGGCAGAAGACGAATAGGCCGTTAGTTGGATGGGTTAGATTCTTCACAAGAGTTCTTAAAAACAGGAACCCCAGACGATGACTTCCAGCAGAGAGGAAATCAGGAGACAGCAAGGCATTTATTATATAGTTTAGAGAGAACATAAGCAAGATCTGGAGCACACATATTAATGAATATTACAGGGATACCATCGGGTCTACATACTTTGTGGGGAACAATGTTATAGATGATAACAGAGACCATGGAACTTCAACTCCTGTTTAATAGAAATAGAAGGTGTGCGAACCGGACGATAGGCGAGCCTATCTACTCCTATTAAACTGTGCAGAGAAATGCACGTGAAACACGAAAGAATTCATATTAAGTATAAGTTCTGATGTCTACTACCAAGTAAAAAATGGGATGGCAAGACTTAAGTCACTCTTGTCGCGTCAATTTTTCAGCATTGATAAGCAACACTCCGTGATAAACATATTCTAAATTAAACAATTTGGGAGACTGGCTGAATTTTGATAATTAATTGCATTGGGGAAAACAAAACACACGAACGACAAAATGAAGGATAGTTGAAAACATGAGAGACGAAAACAATAAACAACAACAAAAAGTAAAATAAAATTCAAAGAATGACACAGACATTTAAATATCTACAACAATAAAATGGCACAAGGCAAAGTAATTTGGTACGCGGACATTTGGCAGACGGGCATTTGGCTGAACGGACATTTGACCGTCAGGACATTTAACCGAATGGATATTTAACAGAAAATGTAGTGGCCTACGTACATGTATGTCACACGATTTATCATAATGTGCTACATATATTTATATTTATTTATTGTATTAATTTATAATTTTTTCGATTTTTTTTTTGCAGGCTTTTTTTAAAATCAGTTCTCTATATATTATATTTTACTTCAAATATTACTGTAAATTTATAAGTATTTTGAGAAAAAGTACATTTTACTACAGCAAAAATTTAAGCTTTTACGATATGGAAGAACTTTCAATTTCGCTTTTAATGATCATTATCTTAAAGGGATGAACTAGCTTTTATCTTACTGTTAAATACGAATTTAAATAATTAGGTGCTACTTTTTACGCCAATACACTCAAATATTTTTAAAAATACTAATTTCAATAAGAAAATTTTAACTTTCAATCTAGATTTAGTAATTTATTCACTTGAAATTCGCTGGTAATTATTAGTACTATTCTACATTATAATATTGATAATTACAATACTTGAAGTATTGCTTGTTACTATTTTTACTTGTACCTTTTCGGTGAAATATCTGTCGCCAAATGTCTGTCGGCCAAATATCCGTAGGCCAAATATCCGTCTGCTAAATGTCCGTCGGGCAAATGTCCGTAGGCCAAATATCCGTCACCTAAATGTCCGTCGGCCAAATGTCTGTCGGCCAAATATCCGTAGGCCAAATATCCGTAGGCCAAATATCCGTCTGCTAAATGTCCGTCGGCCAAATGTCCGGCCACGGGTAATTTACATACGGGTTCTCCAAATGTTTCCTTCTCATCTTTAACTTTATTATGGAAACTACAGACGAACTTATCAGTGGTGTTTGGAGAAAAATTATGGCTGCTCCCTGGTCTGGGCTTTTCTTGGCCAAGGGCTCTGACTTGAAATGAGATAGGTGAGCCTGAGGTGGGCGTGATATGGGAGGGCCCATAATCGTTCCGGAGCTATTGGGTGTACCAAGGTTTTTGCCATTATTTTTACTATTTTGTTTCTACCGAGGAATTAAGAACCATTCGCCAGTCATCAAATGTATCGAATACTAAATTTCAAAATATATATATATATATATATATATATATATATATATATATATATATATATATAAAAGTGAACATTACCGGCTGTTTCATGCTAGACTCAATCGTCAGGCCGAGAATGTTGATTTTTCCTCGACTATTTATATATATGGGTTAGTGGTGTATTGTGGATAGTTTATGCCGTCGGTTAATTTTTGGGAGTGGCTTGTTTGTTTATTTATTTGTTAATTTATTTTACTTGTTTTTCATTTTTATTTTGTATTATTTATTCTTTTCGGTTTTTGATGTTTTATTAACGTAGCAAAAAAAAAATTGTGTGGTGGGATTTGCTTAGGTCACTTATTTAATAGTATATTTTGGTCTGGTAAGATAATTAAAGCTATTTATTGGTCCAATGTTTAGATTGCTTGCCGTAGTCTATTCTCTTATTTTGGCGGGGGTACAGTTTTTAATTTATTTATTTATTTATTTGGATTGATTATTTTTATTTCTTTTTGCTTATTTATGCTTATTTTTATTAGTTCTAACGGCTATTTTAGCGGGGGCGATTTGTTACTTTGCTCATTTATTTATTTATTTGGATTAATTTTTATTTGTTTTTATTTATTTACTTATTTTTATTATTATGTACTCTATTTGGTTTTGGATTTTTTCGTGACGTAGTACTGTTTTTTATCGTTATATAGCAGTTATAGCTATTTATACGTCCAATTTTTGGATTTGTTGTTGTTCTCTATTCTAATTTTATTTTGGCGGCATTGGTTTGTTAATTTGTTTATTATTATTTACTTTATTTATTTGAGTTGATTATTTTTACTTGTTTTTATGGATTGTATTTTTTATTTATTTATTCTATTTCGTCTGTTCTAACGGGGGTGGTTTGTTAATTTTTATAATCTTTGTATGGGTTAATATACTTTGTACTATTTTCTTTGTTTATATTTATTCATTTCAGTTTTTAATTTTTAAGTAACGTAGTAAAAATTTGTTTTCATGTCTGTATTTTAGGATGAGCTCAGATCGTTTATTTAGTGACTTATTTTGGTCTGGGAAGGTAATAATAGCTATTTTTACCTCCCAGCAATTTTTCAGGTTTTTGATTGATTGTTGTAGGCTGATGATCTTTTTCTTATTTTCCATGATATTTTTGGTGTGATATGTGTTTGGTTTTTATTTTCCCAGATATACTTAGAAAGCATTGTGCTGTTCGCATATTTACTATTTGTGAAATATATTTTGTGTGCATAGTTTCTTTGTTTCCAGGGTCCTTCAGTTACTCCTATGTATACTTTTTCTCCATTATCTGGTGATTTTACTGTGGCTTGGTATATTACGTTGTTTTGTAAGCAATTATCGTTTAAGGGACATTCATTCTTTATTCTACAGTTACACGTGGGTTTAATTTGTTCGAGTGGTTTGTTGATATTTTTCCTGTTGTGCTTTTTTATTATTTGTGCCATATTCTCGGTGCAACTGTAGCTGATATTTAAAATTTTTTCATTGAATATTTTGTGTATACTGCTTGATTCCGGGAAACGTTTGTTTAAGAGTATGAAGAATATTTTACCTCCGTTTGTTTTTACGTTTTTGCAGTACGGTGGGTTCAGCCGTATGATATTTCTCTTCCTGTTGGCCTTTCTTGTGCTCTGTGATGAGTATGGGAGTGTTGTCAGGGATCCACTATCGTTTAGGGCTGTTTCGTAGTCTTTCTTAGCTTCGTTAAATATGGTTTTATTGCAAGAATTGTTGGAAAGCCTTCGGTTAATCGATTTTTGGTATCTGTTTATCGAAGGCGGGTGATTGGAGGATATGTGTATGTACAGTGATTTATCATTGGTTTTTCTGTATGGTTTATATGTGCCTTTTCTTAAGTTGAAGGTAACATCTAGAAAATTTACTTCGTTTAGGTTAGTTTTTATATCTACGTTGAATCCGTTATTTTTAAAAATCCTTATTATTGTTTTTCTAGATTTATCTGTGTTTTGTTTGTTGTAGTTTCTTAAGATTATGAGTCCTATATCATTTTTATCTATTATTTCGCTTAGTTTATATACTTAATATATACCTATGATTTCGTAGTAACACCGTCAAAACTTCCCATTGTAGTGTCAAAGTCCCTTCTTTCTTTATCCATGTTTCTTCATTGTGGAATAGTAGAGATTAAAGGGAGTGTTTAATGATATCGATTTCGTTTGTGTGTATTTTTATTTGCTCCTGGGCTAACTTGATGGCCTTATCTAGCATGTCTTCTGTTATGGATGGGTATGTATAATTGTATAACCTGGCAATTATGTTTGTTATTTATGCTGTGAAACCAGTCAATAGGTACTTTTGTGTTTTTCCACTGGTTTACTCCCAAGTTCTTCCTTAGTTCAGAATTAATTCTTTCTAGTATCGTTTTACTTATTTTACCTCGTTCCCTTTTAGTTGGGTTTATGAGTCTGCATGCAGATTGGGTTTTGAAATTTTCTTTGTGATCTTTTAGTGTGATAAAGACTTGTGTCTTACAGATGCAACTTATTCGGTCGTCTACGTCTAATTTTGGGGCGATTACTTTAGTATTGTTATTGATATCGTGTTCTATTGTTTGCGGTGCTTTTTCGTATGTTTTGGTTATGTTGCCCTTGAGTAATTTGTTGTGTGTGAAGTGGGGGCTTAGTTCATATAAATTTCCTGTTTTGTCTGCTGCGATAAATACATTTGTTGAATTGTTTATTTTAGTTATATCTCTTAGTTTTTTTTAGAATGCGTCTTGCTTTTTATAGAATTTTATGTTTTTAACTAAATCCGTTAAGTCTTTCTCGAAGCCGTCTAATTCTATCTTTTGCGGGGGACATTTTTTGGTTTGAAAGCCGTATTTTTCCTTAAATGTAGTGTTATTGTGAAAGTCCGGGCTTAAAAAGAAATGGGCTTTCTATCTTATTCTTTTTATGAAGCTTTCTGTTTTTCAGTTAATTTTAGCTTATATGTGGATGGATATGGGATGGGTATGTTTTTTAGGGAATGTGTTATAAATGTAGCGAAAGTGCTCAGAGGCCTCTGAGTGTTGACTTCAATGTTTAATTGTATATTTATATTTACATACGGTCTATCTCTGATATTGAGCACTTTATCCCATAAATATAGCACACCTTAAAACTATATTTCTTCACACACACACACACACACACACACACACGCATATATATATATATATATATATAATTTTGATGATGCAATTTAAAATTTAAATATAGCATAAACAGTTCTGGTCAGGTGGGAGGGGCTGAAGTAAAAAGTTTGATATTTCGAAGATTGTAGTTATCAGCGAGGGAAGTAAACGGAAGGGAGTTCCACAGTCGGGAAGTGTGAGAAAAGCTATTTCAACAGTAAATGCCAGTCTAGTAGCACGCTTAAATTCATATAGTCGGGGAACCAGAGAAAAAAAGCTCGTCAGATTAGTTGCCGTGAAAATCTTTGTAAAAAAGACAGAGAAAAGCCACACCACGTCGATGAGAAAATGATTGAAGTCGAGACGCAAAGTCAAGATCGATTACAGATCCTTCTTTGGATTTTGTCAAGAACCTCCAGATGAATGGCAAGAACACCAGACCAGATATGGCAGCAGTATTCAATGCACGGACGAATGGGTGATTATTCTTTGTTAAGATTTTATCAATCTCTTTCATAATTTGAGTTAAATCATTATATTGCTCCTCATCTTGACCATGAATATACATGAAAAAAGAGATACGATTACTTTTGTGCATGAAGTCAAACTTGCTGATAATGATACTGGAATTACTTTAAACATTAACAGAGCATGTGCATTTGTGATTGAACAGAGCGTAGAGAACCCAAAACTGCAAATGTCAATCAAAATCTGAAAACGCTAGTCAAAGACCACGTCAGAATCTCAGAAAAACATCTTAGATAACGGGTGACAGCATTGCAACTTAATCTCAAGAAAATTGGTAAGTGAAAGAAACTTAATAAATGGTTTTCACATAAACCCAGTTAAAGTCAAAGAGTTCGATGTTTTGATGTCTATTCGATGACCCACCTGCGAAATTTGAATGGTCCATTTCTTCATCGAACAATAATTCGTGGTGAGAAATGTATCCTTTACGACAATCGTAAAAGATCGTCTCAGGATGAACACCCAAATACTTTCCACCACCGAAGAAACATTATGGCGACTGTCGGATGGTCCGCCATTAGTGTTGGCTATTTCGGCTTTCTGGAATCTAACTAGAGCATCACTGTCAAAGTTTACTGCCAGTAGCTGGATTAAATGTACATTCAGTTAAGCGAAATGTGGCCAGCACTGGTTAATAGGCGGGATTCACTTCTTCTTCAGGACAATGATCGGCCCCATGTTGCCAGGGTGACTCTGCAGAAGCTCACCGACGTGGGATACGAGACCTTATCACTTCCACCATATTCCGCTGTTGTCCACTGACTATCGCGTTTTCAAAAATCTTGGCATCATTTTAAACCAAAAGACATTCCGTTGCCAAGAAGATACCGAAACTGCAATCAAAGATTTTTATTACAAAGGCATAAATAACCTTTTAAATCGATGGCAGTAATGTGTAGATGATGAGCGTTCCTAGACTGATTGAAATACTTTAGGTTCGCTAACACTTTGAGCCCTGCGTTCTTGAATAATTTTAACCCTTCTGTCTGAGCTCCTGAGTCAAATAATTGGTATATAATAATTCACGGTAGATATAAAAATAGTTACAAAAATTATAAGCATTATACTTAACAGGGAAAAAGTATGATTGCATGTCTTCACGTTATCGCCAGAATTCTTTCTTTGTGTGCCAGTCAACCCAGCAGGTGATGCCTCTCTTGATGCACAAGAAGCACTGGTATGTGCAGCGGACTGAAGACTTCACAGCCTAGACAGGAAAGTCTTTGTCAATCTCTCCAATAAATCATGAAGCATATTAATTACTTGCTGCGCTGTGTAGAGTTTTTTTTCTCGCACGTTTTGTCCCCGATTACTTCCCTGACGATCCAGGTTGAGAGTCTGCACGCTTCATTTTGGGTAGGTTCAGTATCTTTTTTCCCCCGACTGCCATCAAAACTAAATTCTAAATCCCTGATTCCGAGATGAGTCCAGTCCAGGGTTAAAGAAGAATGGTGCAAGGTTGCCCCGACTGAATTAGGCTATACCCATATAAGGTAATTTGGGAATTTTTTTGCTAGTAATATATATGTTGTGTTATAATAAATACATTGAGTTATCTTTGTGGATCAGTTTTAATATTTGATATTGCTAGGATGGATTAATATTTGATATTACTAGGGTATTACTAGCCGGATTATATGCCATAAAAGCTATTACCTTTTTTATATATATTACCTGTACTATATATATATATAAATATATATATATATATCAAAACTTGGTCTGCAGCTGGTACGCGATCTTCTTTGAACATGAAGCCGCTCTCTGTCTGTCTGTATGTGTGTGTCTCTCTCTCTCTCTCTCTCTCTCTCTCTCTCTCTATATATATATATATATATATATATATATATATATATATATATATAAATGGTCCGACAATTATTTTAACGTATATACAGAAAATATATTAATACACACACATATACACACATACAGTGTAACCCGGATATAAGAGAGTTGTCGGGACTGAAGAAGAAGTCTCATATCCGGGTTTCTCTTATATCCGGGTTTGGTCTATTTTGTTTAGGTAAGTATGGGCTCTAATTTGAAACCAGAGAAAATCTCTCTTATATCCGGGTTTCTCTTATATCCGGGTTACACTGTGTATATATATATGCTGAGGATAAGGCCCGTCAGGGCAGGTCTCATCATGGCTCTCGAATACTTATTGTCTCTCTCTGTCATCTTTCTTTAGATCGTGGGTGATCGTGGTTCTCCACAGCATCCTGTTATCTCTCTCTCTCTCTCTCTCTCTCTCTTTGTGTTATTTGCCTTCAGATTATGGCTGATCATTGTTCTCCACATCTTTCTTCTTTTATTGCTCAAAGTAACTCTTGCCTCTTTACAAACACTCTTTCTCTTCGAGATCTTTGTTCTATCAATTGCTTCGTTATCGTCCCGTAGATTACACGGCGTTTTTCAAGTATTCTTCTCTCATTATGTGTTAGTAAAATTTAGATTTCGGAAAGACACGAATGACAGCGGGAAGTATTCCTGGACTTTGCGCCATTTTCAACGGAGTTAAGAAAAAAAACGCCCTTAACTTGTCTCATTTCTAACTATCACTTTATTCTTATATTCTTTACCCGGTGCCGATTAGGGACCGAATGAATTAACATATCAGGATAATTCTTTGACGCAAATACAGTATTATTAATTCATAAATATGAAATTCAACAATGAAGCTATAACGAAAATAACGCCGAATAACACATAATTGGTAATATCATTAATTTTGTAAGCTTTCAAGGCGAAATGGTGAATCTAATTTCTCACCAATTATGAAGTCATTTGAGACCTGGTAAATAGAATATAAAAGGGCGCACATTTTTTGGATTCAATCAATCAACTATGAAAGAGGCCGGTGATTTGAAATACGACATTATTAATAAAGTAAAAAAAAAAAAAAATGCGTATTTTGATTTTTCTGTTGGTTATTTGGGAGATTTTTTTTTTATTTATTCGGACATCCAATTTGATTAATCTGGACGGTTTATCCTCTTGTCTCCTCCACAGCGTCGATCTGGACTTTGGCGATATTTTTTTTTCTCGAATAAACGCAAACGCAAGAAAGTCGATATTTGCGTGTCAAACGCGCAACTGCATTATCAGCCCACTTGCTTCTCGGCTTCTCTTTCCGTTTCTCCTACTGTCTGTCTGTCTGTCTGTCTGTCTCTCTAACATGGCTTACGGCTATGTCCTGATGAAACACCGGTTATCGGACGATCACCGAAGTTAAGCAACGTCGGACCTGGCCAGTACGTACATGGGTGATCGCTTGGAAATACCAGTTGTTGGAGGTGCAGATAGTTTTATAACGGCTCGGAAATGGAAATCGGAAAGCTGTGTTCTAATTTCAGTTGGCTCCATTATAGACAGGCACACATACACTTGAGAAAGGTTTGAATTCAAATCTTCTCCCATCCATAGGTTAAATAGTAGAACTTGTATCAGTAAATCATTATTTTCTAAAAAAAAAAAATACCTACAATCTAAAGAATACTTTCTAGCTTTAAATAATCCGTAAAGGTTTGATAAGCCGTAAAAAACAATCAGCCAATCTCTTACTCAGGCTTTCTACCCCCTCTATCTCTCTTTCCTTCATTGTGTCTTTCAACATGTATTTGAATTTATGTGTATGTCCGTAAATGTAAATAAACCTGTGCGTGAATGAATGTGTGTGTAGTTCTGTATCTGAATGAATAAGTGTGTGCGTGTATGTGGATGTGTATGTAAAGATATGATGGTGTATGTGAATGTATTAGTAGATGGGAATACGAATTCGTGCGTGAATGTATGCGGTTAGCGTGTGTGTGTGTGTGTGTGAGTGTGTGTGCGTGCGTGTGTGTGCGTGTGAGTGTGTGTGCGTGCGTGTGTGTGTGTGTTCTGCTGAGTGTTTTTATGCGTGAATATATGATTTTTATGTGTGAATTTTTGTGTCTGTGCATGTATGACTTTGTGTAACCGTGCGAGTGGCTATATTTGCACCTACGTGGGTGTCAGTATGAATGAATATGTGTATGTATGTGTGTATGAAAATTAGTGTGTACGCGTTAGAATCACGAACGTGCATGTAAGAAGCAAGTGTGTAAATGTATTAGTGTGTTTGAATGTATGAGTTTTCCTGTGTGCAAATGTATATGGGTGTGTACGAATGTACACCGTTATCTTAGATGAGTGAATGTATGTGATTGCATGAAACGTTTTATGAGAATGAGTTTTTTGATGTGTGTGAGAAGCTGTTTATATGTGTATATAATGTATAAGCGTGAGCATTTAAGACTTGTTGTGTGTGTGAATCCATGAGAGTATGTGTGTGTAATGGTCAATGTCAATGGTGCGTAACTGAGTGGAAATAGATGTGTCTGTGAGAATCTTTCTGTGTGTATCTATGTGTGTGATCTGCGTGCAATTGTATGTAGTTGAGAGTGTGAATGTATCACGGGCGTGAATATATGTAGGTATATACTGTGTGCAAATTGATGGCAATACAAAAAGTAATCTGAAGCTTAATTAAGCATACCGACAAGTAACTGATTTCTGGGTCAGCTCTTACGCAATCTATTTATAGAAACAGCTAAATAGATATAAATAGACTGAAGCACACAAACATGGATAGATATTATAGAGATGTAGTTAATTAAAGAAATACGTGTATATATCTTTCATATTCTGCTAAATTCTATATTTAGTGAGTACAGGTCTTTGAGTAGTCATACCAGTTTTTTTTTTAAATTATTTTTAAGAATTTCACCCCAAGCAAGGCGGGAGTTCCACTAGCACACAGAGGGTTACAGACAGTGAAATTGAGGGAAAAGACTGTGTATAGCGTGGATCGGGGAAAGGATAAAAGAAAAACGGGGACAAAGATAACGATCGACGTTACATTTAAATTTTTGAAGATTGTAGTTATCAGGGAAGCAATTAAGAGGAAGGGAGTTCCCCTGTCGGGAAGTGTGATAAAAGAAACTTTTGGAGTAGAAGTGGCGGTTACATTTAACTATTCCAACAGTAAAAGGGTGGGACCTAGATACCAATCTAGTAGCACGTTTGAATTCATGTAGTCGGGCACTAGGGGAAAAAAAACTTGTCAGAGAAGTTGCAAAATATTTGTAGAAAAGACAGAGGGAAGCCACATTCAGTGAAATTAATGCCTACCCGCCGAGCGAACAAAGAGTTCTAATCACGAAATGTATCTTCTATTAGGAATAAAACTTGTATTCTATCTAGGACACCGATTTCAAGGTAAGCTTTCCTTACCATTTAGCTAATAGAACTCATAATAGCAAAGTAGTATTAAATAATACCACATCAAATATTCGTGTCTCAATTTGGGACATTTGGAAGTCTACATCTCCTAACCTTATTATTAATTCTACCTTAATTTTGATTTTACTCTAAACTCGTCATCGAGTAGATATTCTTTTTTCTGTAAACAACTAAATTAATGTTTATCGCTCTAGAGATCGAAAATTTTCAAAAGAAACAATGGCCTCCGAATGAATAGAATTCATATTTCCTTTTAAATCTAGGTTGATTGACTCAGTTGCTTTGTCTTTACGGCTTAACAACACTTTTCATGTTATTCAAAGCTAGAAAATATGTTTAGATTGCTAGAAAAGTTTTCTTTTGGGTGATAATAATGATTTATTGATACAAGTCCTACTAATTAACTCATAGCCGGGGAGGCCGAAGAGGTGGATTTTTGTCTTTTCCAAAGGTATTTAGGCATAAGTGAACGTAAAGAACCCAACAGAAATTCGAACCCGGCTCTCCGATTTCAAATTCCGTGCTATTTATCTATTACACAACCCGCATAGCCAAGCTCACAGCATCTAGTCCTCCCAAACGGTCACCCATCTAGTTATTGACCAGACTCGACGTTGTTCAACTTTGCTAATCGTACGGGAACCGATGCTTCAACGCAGTATGGCAGTAAGCTTTTTACATCTGGGAAACTGCTTTCAATTCGAGCATGCTGCAGTCGTGTTTCGATGCGTATCAACGCATCTCATCAGGACATTATAGATTACTAGAGAGTGGACGGTATATTCAGAATTAAAAGCAAAATTCAGCCTCTTTTTGCAAGAAAAAAAAGAAACAATAAAGCGGGGTTTATAAGGTTTGTGGGCTTTACTGAAATCAACCAATCAAATAAGACCTACGTTAAATTTAAACTAATTTAAGAGAAGAAGCAAAAATTAAGAAATTATTTTTCATAAATGGCTCATAATCCGTAGATTTGAAATAAATGACAGCAACATTTTGTTCTATTTTTCGTAAAAAGAGGCTGCATTTTGCCGAATAAATTCTGTTAAACAATAGAGGCATAAAGTGTCTGTCAAATTTTTATTATTTTTTTTTTCCATTTGGAAACACGCGTACAGACACATACACACACAAAGACACACACAAAGAGAAAACATCTACCCCAAACTAATAAATAGCGCCTAGATTATTTTTAACGTTGTATTAAAATAACTAAAATGAGAAAATCCGCAGTCTACTGCTGCAACCTCCTGACGAGTGGACAGAACCATTACTAAACTTCTACGAAACCCCAAAGACGACGTACTGAATCTAAGATTAACCAGCTAAGTGATAACTTTTATTTGTAGTATCTCTCTCTCTCTCTCTCTCTCTCTCTCTCTCTCTCTATCTATCTATCTATCTATCTTATTTATTTATTATAATTTTATCATATAGATAAAACCATTTTACTCACTACAAAGATGCAACTTGGTTTCAGTTCATTTTAACTGCACTTCCACGTCTAAGTGCAGTTGAAATGCACTGAAACCAAGTTGCCTCTTTGTAGTGAGTAAAATGGTTTTGTCTATATGATAAAATTATAATAAATAAATAATTATCGCTCTACTATAGGTATCGAGCCGTCTTTTGGAGTAATGCTGTGAACGTTGAAAATCATATATTACTTTCGTTCTCATCGGATCTCTCTCTCTCTCTCTCTCTCTCTCTCTCTCTATATATATATATATATATATATATATATATATATATATATATATATATATGGTTGTTGACTTGAAAAATGGAAAATGTAACACAGTTCAGCAGACTAAAGTAATGTTCTTATTGAAGGAATTATATAATGATCTAAAACTAATGATAATAACCTCATACTAAACGTCTATCGTAAATTTACTAATAAAAACTACTCCATAAATTCCTATTCCGACCATGTCAACAAAATAAAATCTTGAATAATTATCGCATTCTATTTAAGAGCACTCGGAATTCGTCCTCCTGAATATTTACGCAATGAGGAGAAAGGCATTAAAAATACTTTAAACACCTCCAGTATCTTTATTATTTCATATTTAATGTGAAACTAAAAGCTGTTCAAATTTATAGAAATAAACGAATCTTATTAAAACTAGACACTCTAAACTGCCCACCGACCTTATCTCAACTGCAATCGAAAAGAATCTACAAAATACTCCTAAACAATAATAGACTTAACACGAAACAAAATAATAACTAAATAATAAGCTAAAACCCGTACCAGCAATTTCCACCATATCCTGTAATAATTGTTCCAAAAATATATAGGAGAGACTTTGAGGAATTTAAATAAATTATTATACGAAAACAAAAGTTATTTTACAAAACAGCAAACCCTAGGCATTAGTCGTTCATCACATTGAATATGACCATTATTTTGATTTTAAAATGCTGCTCAGATCAAAAAGAGAAAGTAATCTGCTAGAGCAAAAATGTATAGAAAGTGCACTGATTTCTGAGACGTCTGCGGTAAATTTGCGTCGATATACATACAAGCTTTCACCTTCCTTAACAAATGTTATTGCTGCTTTCTTCTAAGTCTTGCTAGGTTCAACGACCCAAACACAAGTCATCAGATCCCTCCAATGTAGCTCTACATTCATCAGCAAAATTTACTGTTGTGATACCAGTTCCCATATATTTCTTCTACAAGCTTACATGTTTCTCTTTATGATGTGGTAGTTTGATTGCTATCATATCTTTAGTCAAAGCACTTAAAATTCTTTACCTATTCTCACAATACCAGTTTCTGTAAATAAAATGCTGCTAAAACGGAAGACGTCAGTGAGAGTGAAAGAAAAGGATATGGCTTTAGCGAGGAGAAAGGACAACAAAAGAACAGAATTTCACAAAGACAGAAGATTTTAATGGATGGCAAGTAAGAAAAGGAACTCTAAGAATAGAAAATCCGGTTACATTTAGATATTTCAACAGTAAAACGATTAGACTTAGTTGCCAATCTAGCAATACGCTTAAATACACACGGTCGTCGTAACAGGGAGGAAATCTTGCCATAAAATATAGAAAAACAGAGGGAAGCTACGTGTCGGTGGTGGGTAAGAGATTTATGCCGAGTTGCAAGGTCAGGACCGATAATATTACTGAAACTGTCCATTATTTGTGCTTTCCAGCGAGAGAGTCTATTCAAACCTTTATGGAAACTAGATCTATTTGAAAACCACCTGCTTACGGGTTGAAATTGAATAAGGTAGTTGCACAAGAATAGAAAGGGACATCGCTATCGACTACAATTGAAGGGTTCGAGCCGAGCATTGAAGAAAAAAAACGGCCGCTATACGAACAGAGACCCGCCAAATTGATTTTACAACATGGCAACGCTAGGCCACATGTTGCAAAGCGGGTGAAAATCTACGTGGAAACGCCTAAACCCACCCGTATTTACCAGACATTGCCCCGTCCTATGATTACTTGTTCCGATCTATAGCACATGGCCTGGGTGGGCAGCCCTTTCATTCTCTTGAAGATGACAAAAAATGGGTCGACTCGTTGTCAGCCTCAAAAAAAGTGTTGTTTTTCCGACGTGGAATTCAAATGCTACCAGAAAGATGAGAAAAAGTCGTGGTTAGCGAGGGACAATATTTTCAGTGATATGTTTCTTAATAATGTTTGTAAATAAATCATTACTTTTCATGACAAATCAGCGAGGACTTATTCAAGATCCTATATATTTGGCACAGTGGGTAAAAGCCTTACTTGGATTCAGTGACTTGACCCAAAGAGTTGTGTGTTCAATACCTTCCTACTGCAGTGGCGAACAAAAATGTCAAAGGGAGATAACAGAGACATCAGTAATAGACACGTGAAACTTGAACTAATTAAATTAAGTAGGTGCACAAGAATAAAAAGGGACATAAGACGTGGACGCGTCTTGTCACCGGATTTATACAATCTCTACAGCGAAGCTATCCTTAGGAAGCTGGAGACTTTACCAAGATATATTCTTGGTCGCTGATGGCCAACGCAGAAGTAACGACAAACCTTGAAAAGAGCCAAGAAAGGACTAACTGTCACGTGTAAGAAGACAAAATTTATGTTTTTCAGCAAGAGAATCAGTCCAAGATGCAAACTACGATTTGGACATGTCAAGTTGAAACAAGTACAAAAATTTAAATACCTGGCACCGAAATCCGAGTGTGCGTTGGATTGGCAAAAGAGACATTCCAAAATCAAAGCAAAATTCTAAGAAACAAGAAAACTTCGTTAGAAACCGAGAAAATAGTGTTGAACTTATATTTAAGGATCATGACATCTGAGAGATGAGATTCAAAATTTTTATTATTACATTATTCAAATAATCGCTATTAAACAGAGAACAAATAGTAATTAATTAAAAAATAGTAATTAGTAAAGCAGAATATCCATGGTTCGAAGTTTCTGCTCTGCATTTGGTGGGATCAGCTGGGTGTTGTTTATCATGAGCAGCTCAAACTAGCCGAAACCATCACGGGCGATCGCTATCGACTACACCTGATGCGTTTGAGCCAAGCATTGAAGAAAAAATGGCCGCGATACGAGCAGAGACACAAGAAAGTGATTTTGCAACATGACTACGCTAGGCCACCCGTTGCAAAACGAGTGAAAAACTATTTGGAAACGCTTAAATGGAAGTCCTATCCAACCCGCCCCTATTCTCCAGACATTGCCTCGTCCGATTATAACTTGTTCCAATCAATATACATCTATACATGTACATGAATGTCGTTTTTGATAAAAATTAAAAAATAGTCATAATTACGGAAAAAATGCATATATTGTCAAAAATTTCTTTTTCCACAATATAGCTATTTGTGCAATGTTACAATGATTTTTCCCTAAACAATAATAATACTAAATAATTTTTTTTAAACATTAAAGATTCTTAAATCACATCTCCCTAATAGCTGTCGCGATATGTAAATAAACCTTTGGGATGTCATGAGTAACCTTTTCCAACCAGTGGGTGGCATGAGATACTGTTTACCTTAAGGTGGGCTAACCTACCAAAAAAGTTCAGGGTAATGTTTTCATTGAAGGTATCACAGCCATTTTCCCGACCGGAAACCATGTGCATAAATGTCTGCTGTAGAAACTGAGAAAATTATTTGATTTTTCTTTTGGGGGAAAGTTGTTTTTTTTTTCACAATATACGTTATAATGCTTATTACCTAAACAATAATAATACTGAATAATTTTTTTTAAACATTAAAGTATATTTAATCACATCACCTTAATAGCTGTCGTGATCTGACAAACTAATTAGCATAATTAGTTGATTAAAATGTAATCGTAGGTATCGTGATAAGAAAGATAAAAAGAAAAACCAAAAAATCACACGAAATAAAGTGATAGTCGCAAACTGATATTACCCTGAACAAAATTTTAACACCTCATCAGATAGCTATTAATGTCAACAACCGAACACAAACAGCTATTAATTAAAAACAAATTAGTAATTAATGTATAATCTTATGAATATTTACATGTACAAGAATGTCGTTTTTGATAAATGTTACAAAGAATAACCATTAATATGTAAAAAAAATGTATATATTGTCAAAAATTCCTTTTTCTACTATATAGCTATTTGTGCTATGTTTAATGCTTATTATCTAAACAATAATAATACTGAATATATTTTTTAAACATTAAAGTATATTTAATCACATTTTCCTAAAAGCTGTCACAATCTATAAATAAACCTTTGGGATGTCATGAGTAACCTTTTCCAACCAGTGGGTGGCATAGGATACTGTTTATCATAAGGTTGGCTCCACTACTAAAAAAAAATCAAGGTAATTGTTTCTTGAAGGTATCACAGTCATTTTTACTACAGGTGACTATACGCATAAGCCTCTGCTTTAGAAATTGAAAAAAATATTTGATTTTTCTTATGGGAAAAAATTTTTTTTTCACAATAATGTGTTAAAATGCTTATTACCTAAACAATAATAATACTGAATTAATTTTTTCAACATTAAAGTATATTTAATCACATCTTCCTAAACTCTGTCACGATCTGTTAATATCAATCCTTGTATTTACTCGCAGATGAAGAGAAAACTAAAAGCAACAGAAATTTGGTTCTACAGAAGGCCAATGAGAATACAATGGATGGGGCAAGTTAGCAGCGAAGAAGTTCTAAGGAAAGTTATATTTAGAATCAGACACACAAAAAAAAAATCAGTTGAAATTTCTTGGATACACCATAGGGAAAAAAGACTTCGAGAATTTAACACAAGGGACATAGTGAACGCAAATATGACAGTGGGAAACAGCGGGGCCCCCCTACCTAACTAGCTTGTGTGAATGAATGGCGGAACGAGGGTGAGAAAGGGCAAAAAGTCAAATGTTACTGAAAAGGATAGGAAATTGTGGATAGCCATGATCG